GGCTTCGTGGTGCATGCCTATAGTCCCAGCTACTGGAGAGCCTGAGATGGGAGGATCTATTGAACCCAGGAAGTCAAGGCTGCAGTGAGCCATGATCATGCCACTGCACTCCAGCCTGAAAAACAGAGCGTGACCCTGTCTCAGATATATATATATATATATATCTGTCTTCTTGTGACTTCTGGTGAGGAGATTGAGAGGCACCAAAGTTATTCTTGTGGTTTTTATTAAATTAATACAAATTTAGATAGTTATCATTTCGGATTGTAGTGAGCCAAGATTGTGCCACTGCACTCCAGCCCAGGTGACAGAGCGAGACTCTGTCTCAAAAAATAAAATAAATAATAAATAGTTGCTATCGCTGAGGTAAACACTGACTTGTGGAAAAGAGAGACCCTTCAAAAATGTAATGGCTGATGGGGAAAAAGTAAAATTGGGATTAAACACTTGTTGCAAATAATAATATCCACACAGGAAACGTAAATATTAATAATTAAAAGTTAACTGCTCCCCGATGTTTGAGTGGGGCTTTTAAGATTTCTATTTCATGTCATGAAGTGGGAGAAGGCCTAAGGGTAACGTTTACTTTCTCAAGAAAATATTGAGTTAAAAGGGGCCGGGTATGTAGCAAAGAGACAGCAAAAAGAGCCTTCAGCAGTAATTAAGGGGACTGCTCCACCAGCCACGAGCCCATCTGTGCATATCTCTGCACACATACACATGTGTGCGTGCATTCCTCCCTGTATGCTCATGGATGCTAGAGCTGACCCTTTTCTACAGCAGTCTTGGCTACCTTCACATCCTACTCAGGTGAGTGCTAAAAGCTGATCCTCTGCATTGTCCAAAACTTGGATTTTCATCCATTTGCCCATGATTTTTTATGAAAGAAATAAACAGAACTGTAGCCTGTTCAGACTCCTGTAGCTTTTCTTGTCCACCAACTTGGACATCGCTGAAGCATCAAGCCTGAAAGTGAGCAGGGTCACCTTTCATGTCTGCATGGTTCTGTAAAATCCGTAATTCCAGGGAAATTTAACGGAAGCTTCATTTGCTGCCTCAGCATCTAACTAGGGATAAGAGAATCTAAGGGCAACCGCCAGTCATTGCCAAGGGAGGAAAAAAGATTGTTGCTGCTGCTTTTCAAATTTTATTTCATGCTCTAATGTTTAGTTGACTCAAAACGTGTGGGCCCAGCTGTGCGCTCCTAAGACAAAGTAGGGGCTGTTGGTCTGACTCACAGACTGAGTTTATTAACCCCAGGACTCGAAGCAGGAACCCTGGCCTGAGCTCCCAGGTTGCCAGGGCTCCTCGTGCTCTCTGCATGCCCCGCCATAGCTCACTCACTCACTGTTCTGCCTCGTCCCTCTGTGGAGGAACCTCCTTGCAGTTGAGGCTTTTTTTTTTCCTGTATTCCTGTGGCTAACATTGTGACTAGCACACAACAGGCAATTCTGATTTTTAAATATAAAATTCCCTTTTTTTCTCAACTTTTAATGCCCTTCACCGAGGAAGGAGTTGTGAATACAGGAGAATACAACGCATACCTGCAGGAATTTTTAGGGAAGTGGAGAAAGCATATCTCAGTGCTTAAGGCCATTGTCATGCCAGTCGCCTATTGACTTCAGAAGGGATAGCATTAGATTCAAGAGACCAAGAGCCAACAATTGCAACATAGGTTTGTTGAGGGGAACTTACTTAAGAGGGATCCAGTGGCTGGACAGGAGAACCACCACTGCCTGCAGGAAGCATGCAGCTTATATAGCACTTTCACTGAACACCCTCCGACTAACAACCTCCACCTGGCAACCTTCATTTAACCCAAAACAAAGGGCCCTAGCCCCCTGTATGGCCCACGTTCCAAGGGCTGGGCCAGGGGCTCAGATTTTCCTCATAGACAAAGAATGAATCTCTGGGTTGGCCACACTTGGAACACTAGACACACATTCAGGTGCGTCTGTCACACAGGGTCACTCTCAGGGTATACTTAAGTTCCCCCTGTCAGGTGCATCTGCCCTATGGGCATGATCTCTAGAGTCGTAGTGCCTGCATTTCCACCCTACTCTGCCTCCTACTAACCATGTTACCTTGGGAAAACCTTGACTACTCCACGACTCAGTTTCTTGCCTGTAAAATGGAGATAACAATAGGTCTCATCCCCTAGAATTGTTGGTGAGGATTAAATGAGTTTATATATATAAATGCTTGGAACAATGCCTGGTACATTAACAAGGGCAATATACGTGTTATTTGTGATTATTCTCATTGTTGTTGTTGGGGAGCTTCCCGATTCCTGCTTTCCCCAACAGCCCAGAATTTCTGGGGGATGCTACTGTTGACAAAGATCTGATTTGATGGCACAGGAATTGTGGCTAGAGGTAGACACATCAACAAAATTTAATCCCAAGTCCTGAAGCTTGAACCTAGAATCCCAATCACCCAAGGATAAAGGCCCAATATTCTAGGAAGAACTGGCCCCTTCCCTTTTCCCTTATCCCCTCAGCCTTTAGACTCCTGAAGGCTTTAGTACTCTGTTTCTTTCATGGGAAATGATGGCAGCAAGAAGAAAGTCCAGATTCAGATACCAGAAAAAAAAATACTGCAACAAAAACAAATGGGGAGGAGGTTGAGTTCTGCATACTCTCCATTCAGTGAAGTGGATCCTCCTATGTTTCGCTTCTCCAGACTATCATTACCTCTTACCTGGTCTATCCCAACACATGTGTAACAGGCCTTCTCCAATTCATCTTACACTGATGTTAATTGGATATTCCTAGAGCTGGGCTTCTCAACTTTGGTTCCACATTGGAGTCATCCAGAGAGCTTTTAAAATGGTTGATTTTCACACAGAGATTCTGATTTACTTTGTTCAAAGTGTGGCCTGGGTATTAGGATTTTAAATAGCTCCCAGGTGATTCTACCGTGCTATCAAGGTTAAGAACTAAGGTCCAAACTTGTTAAAATGCAGATTCTTTTTCTTCTTTTTTTTTTTTTTGAGATAGAATCTCCCTCTGTCACCCAGGCTGGAGTGCAGTTGAGCGGTCTCGGCTCACTGCAACCTCCGCCTCCCAGGTTCAAATGATTCTCCTGCCTCAGCCTCCTGCATAGCTGGGATTACAGGCTTGCACTACCATGCCCAGCTAATTTTGTATTTTAAGTAGAGACAGGGTTTCACTATGTTGACCAGGCTGGTCTGGAACTCCTGACCTCAGGTGATCCGTCCATCTCGGCATCCCAAAGTGCTGGGATTACAGGCGTGAGCCACAGCGCCCGGCCCCTAAAATGCAGATTCTTGTTTGGTAGGTCCGGGGTTAAGTTCTGAGCTTCTGAGTTTCTGATGAACTCCAAGGTGATACAGATTTTGCTGGTCCATAGGGCACACTTTGAATAGCAAGGGCTTGGAGAACATGATAATATGATGCCTGTGTTCAATCATGGGCATCCACATGATAAGATAATTCAGCTTGGCATCTTAGGTTGACATCAGAGACATTTAGGGCCTCTAACAGCAATGCTTATCAAATGTGACCAACTGAATGACTCCTGGGCAAGTTTTAAAAAATACAGATCCCTGGGCCCCACACCGGACCTACTAAATCAAGACATTCAAGGTACAGCCTGCACAGGGTATTTGAAAACACTTCCTAAGTGGCATAGATGATCAACACACTTTAAGAATTGTGATACGCTTCCATTATAGTTTTCCAGGCTCCTTTCCCATTAATTCAACAAACAAACACTTTTTGTACCTGCCTTGTGCTAGGTCCTAGGGAAACAAAGATGAAAACAGTGCCATCCTTACCTTTGAAGGGTTGGTCAGATAAATGACCAAAACTAGAATATTTACTATTCCCTCGGGACAAACTAAACACTCAGATCGCTGCTAATGGTCTTCACCTTTTGAGAATGTCTAGGTCCCTCAGCACCCAGGATTGCCTGTCCTGATCAATCAATCCAGACACCGTCTTTATCCCATTTGAGCCTCCATTTTTTTTTTTTTTTTTTTTTTTGAGACGTTGAGACAGAGTCTCACTCTGTCACCCAGGCTGGAGTGCAGTGGCGTGATCTCGGCTCACTGTATCCTCTGCCTTCTGGGTTTAAGCAACTCCCTGCCCCAGCCTCCTGAGTAGCTGGGATTACAGGTGCCTGCCATCACACCCAGCTAATTTTTGTATTTTTAGTAGAGACAGGGCTTCACCATTTTGGCCAGGCTGGTCTTGAACTCCTGACCTCGTGATCCACCCACCGCAGCCTCCCAAAGTGCTGGGATTACAGGCATGAGTCACCTTGCCCAGCCTGGAGCCTCCATTCTTATCGCTCAAACTTACTCTGCTCCATATTAAAATAGACCCAGAGAAGAAAAGGATTTACCCAAAGTGAAATAAAACAGTTGACATTTATGTAGTGACTTCCATGTGCCAGTCATTGTTCAAAGCACTTTACATATGTAATCTCTAAAAATTCTCAAAATAACCTTATGAGATAGATATTATTACTATCCCCATTCCACGGATCAAGGAAAGGGAAGGAACGGAAAAGTAACTTGCCCAAACACATACCAAGCAAGATTCACTCTCAAGCCTTATGCTTTGCTGCCAAGTTGGAGACAGGGCTGACATTGGAATACTGTAACTTCTAATTCTCAGGCCTGAGCACTTTCCTGCTCATCAGTTCCTGTTCCACGACTTAAATTCAAGCACGAGGGCAAGAACGATGTCTGACTTCCCCAACAATGCCTAGGAAGGGTGCAAGCACTTAGTAGGTACTCGATACACGATGATTGGATGAGCTGTCTCTCTAGGGGAGGGGAGAAATGGATAATGATTTAAACAAACAACAACAGCTAAACAAGAGCAGCGGCCAGCAGGTCTCACGTCACCGCTAGATCCCTCTTGACCACCACCCCCCTCCGCCGCCAGAGGAGGACCCTCCCGCGCGCTTTCGGAACGTCAGTGGCCGGGCCCGGGCTCTGCGCTCCATCCTCCCAGCCAGCAGGTGCCCCCAGACCCCCGGCTCCTCCGCCGCCGCCGTCACAGCCTTGTCCTCCAGCTCTGGTTCCTCCGCTTCCTGTTGCAGCTATCTGGGCCCCGAGCTGCGGGCGCCCGGGCGCCCGAGGTTTCCCGGTACGCTCCGCCAGGTAACAGCGCGGCGCGAACTGCCCGGCCGGGGTGGGCACCGGGCCTGCGCGGCCCATTGGTGGGGAAGGAGGCGGCAGAGGGCCCAGGCTGTCCTCCGAGTGGGAGCGGCCCTCCTCCTGCCTCGGGCGCCCGAGGCCTTCCTGCGCCAGGCTGCGGCGCCGGCGGGATGCAGGAATAACGGTGTTTGGCTCCGGCTCCCGGTCCAGGCGTGGCCGAGCGTCTCAGGCACCGCCGCGCGGAGATGCGATCGCAGTCTCTGCGAGGCCTCGGGGCCAGCCACGCCTGCTCCAAGGCTCCTCCTCGTCAACCTGGCCCTGGAACGGGAGAAACCGGGAGAGGAGACTTGGACTTTGGAGCGGCGATGGTCTTCCAAATGCCTTTCCGTTCTTTGACAAAAACCAAGAGCAAAAAGCTGAAACCCACACAGGGAGTTCCCAAGGTCACAGAGTGGTGCCTGCCATTTACGAATGTCTGTTCTTTTATTTAAGTGTTTGTAAATGGGCTACTGTTTTCTCTGTTCTGCCAAGGATTTAGGATTCATAGAAAAGGACTCTAAAAATACTGATTGGCATATCCAAATGAGCTTATCCGAATTACTGGCCAGTGACCCTGGCCTTTAAAAGGAGATAAGGGAGGGCGGTCCTTTTCACGCGGGACACTTTGTATTTCTGGCCCTTGCTCTAAGAATTGGCCTTGATGTTTTACAAAGTTTATCTCAGAACTTCGTGTCAGACGGGACTGGACTGTAGAGATCTTCAGTCCTAGTCTCTTTCTTTTCTCCCTTCCTCCTCTTCTTCCTCCTTCTTTTCTTTTCTTTTTTTTTTTAACGGGTTCTAGAGGTTAAAGTGATTTACCCACACTCTTATGGCTAGTCTCTCCAGGGGCAGAGACAGAATTGGAACCCAGGTCTATTATGGACATCTACTGTTTTCTTGAATGGAAATCTGATTTCAGATGAAAGCTATACAGAACTTGACCTTCATAAAGCCTTCTCTGGATAGCTTTCTTGGGAGTGGCTTGTGTATTGACATCCACAGATACTGTTTCGCTGGTCTGAACAAGGTTAAGCAATAAGCATAGCCATGCAGAAAATTCCTGCTGAGATGAAACAGATACCTGAAATGTTTTTGACTTTTTATTTGTACTTTTCAATGGAGGAGCTAATGAATACTAATAACAACATCTTCGTCATTTTTAGATTTTAGTCCTGTGTGACTAAATTGACTCCTTTATAGTTGTTCTTGTCCTAATGTATTTGTCACTAGTAAAAGTTCCAAGGTACAGCATTCTGGCTTCATTTTTAACTGAATAATTGCCTTAAGGATATTTTTAGATCTCAGCAAAAACTCCCCACCTCTTGTATATTAGAATCCTTCTGCTTCACTCTTGGCAAATCTTTGGGTTGGATTTCAGAACTGAATAAAGCCAGGATTTTCCCCCAACCTCCAAGATGTCTGGACTCTTTGTTCAGTTCTATATTTAAGTTTATCCCAAGTTTTGATTTTGACTGATAAACCTGTGACCCAAATCCAAACCCCAGCTGAATTTAGTATCAGCTTAAGACCACATTAAACTGTCATGTGTCATGTGACCTCTAGCAGAAACCAAGGTGGCCGTGTTCTGTTTTTTCATGAGCGCTTTTCATTGGGGTTTTTGAACTGTGAAGACATTATTTAATACATGTACTTTATTATCCGTGTATTATTGGCCAGTCATCACTGGAGGGTTATTATTGACATTTACTCATCACAAAATGTGATGCCAGCCTACCAGCTCGGAGTGCAGTTCCTGATTTCTGGTTTACAACATTCACCAGTTGCTAACATGTTGTCTCGGAGGAACTTGGAATTATAAATACAGCCATGCTTTAGAAGATTCTTGGCTGTGTAGATAAGCAAGATAAGACAAGGCAGTATTTTTGAACTATTCTGTAATAGAAATGAGGACATATACACAACATGACCCAATGCTGTTTTCTTAGGGTGCATCCTTTGTTTTCTGGTTTTGGTCTTTTCATCATAGGATGGCATTAGCTCTGTGTCTGCAGGTGCTGTGCAGCCTGTGTGGCTGGCTCTTGCTCTATATTTCTTTCTGCCACCTGAATAAGCACCGAAGCTATGAGTGGAACTGCCGGCTGGTCACCTTCACCCATGGAGTCCTCTCTATAGGCCTCTCCGCTTATATTGGCTTCATTGATGGCCCATGGCCTTTTACCCACCCAGGTAGGTAGGGGATTTTTCCTTAGGGATTTATGATTTGGGGGTAGTCTTAGAAGGATGTGATTTTAAAATAGAATTTGTACAATATTGAAAATTAACTCCCATTATAATTTTGTATTGGAATCCTCTTCTTCATTAACTCTGCTATTGTTTATGTTGCCTGTTGTTTCTGCTTTTTGTAACTCTACTTTTAAAACAACTTTTAAATTGCTTGTTGCAGTTTTAATCAGAAATATAAAAACCACAAAGCCAATATCAACATCTTCCACTACCACCCTGCCCTCCGCCAAAAGACACAAATAGAACTGTATTATACATATTTTTGGCAACTTGCAACTTTTACTTGACTGTCTGTTCAAAAGACATCTTTCCATGTCTGCGTTAAGAGGATGAGATGCTCCATATCCTTTTTAATTGTTACTAGATGTCCAAGTGTTACTTTCATAAATATAAAAATTTTACACCCTTAATCGGCTGGGGCTGCCATAACACAGTGCCACAGAGTGGGTGACTTAAAGAGATGTTTATTTTCTTGTAATTCTAGAGGGTAGAAGTCCAAGTTCAAGGTGTTAGCAGGTCTGGTTTCTTCTGAAGCCTCTGTCCTTGGCTTGCGCCCTGCCACTGTGTCCTTACATGGTCACCCCCTCTGTGTGTGTGTGTGTGTGTGCGCGCACGCGTGCATATCTGTGTCCTAATCCCTTATTTGTAAGATGACAGTCACATTGGATTACTCTAATTACGCTATTTTAACTTGATTACCTCTTTCAAGGCCCTATTTCCAAATACGCTCACATTTTGAGGTACTACCGGTTAAGGGCTTTAACATATGAATTTGGGGAGGGGGGACACAATACAGCCCTTAACTTCCCTGGAATATAATTTTAAAAATATTTCTTTAGATTCTCTTATTGAGTTTCTGAGTTTTCCCCCAAATTGTCAAAGTGATGAAAGCAATGGTTAAGCTTTGTGTTTTATATGAAGGTTCTAAATGGTTTCAAATATGTCAGGCCCCTGAAACCCATGTTCCTGGGCATGAGAACACACTCAGTTTTGCGGCCCTCTCCAGAGTCTACTTTCGGGATGAGTTGGGGCCACTGAGTGTTCATAACCTAACCCATTAAGCTGAGAAAAAAAATATGACATTTGGGAAATGACTCAAGAGTCTGGAACTAAACCTTTAGCAGGGTTAAAAAAAATAGTTTAGGATTTTAATTAAAGGAACAAAATAACTGGATTTTACGCTGTTCCACAGAGAGGACACTGAGATTATTGCCTGCATTCATTGAAGGATGCAAACTCGCTGAAGTCTGATTCATCAGAAAAGCGTTTCCTGGGGTCTAAACATCGTTTCATTTGATAAAGACCTTGATTTTATATTTTAGTGTTTCTTTGGTTCTCATTAAAAAGCACGTGCCTGCCATTGTTTTTGCTCCTTTAATGTTCAATAAGGTTTGAAAGAGAACAACATAGGACACCTGTGCAAGGTAGCACAATTCCCAGTCACTCAATTTGCTTCTGTCTTGGTTTATTTCAGGCTCACCCAATACACCTCTCCAAGTTCACGTTCTGTGTCTCACCTTGGGCTACTTCATCTTCGACTTGGGCTGGTGCATCTACTTCCAGTCTGAGGGTGCCTTGATGCTGGCTCATCACACATTGAGCATCTTGGGCATTATCATGGCCCTCGTGCTTGGGGAGTCCGGCACAGAGGTCAATGCAGTCCTCTTTGGAAGTGAGCTTACCAACCCCTTGCTACAGATGCGCTGGTTTCTCCGGGAAACAGGGCACTATCACAGTTTCACTGGAGATGTTGTGGACTTCCTCTTTGTGGCTCTGTTCACAGGAGTGAGGATTGGTGTAGGAGCTCGCCTCCTTTTCTGTGAAATGGTCTCCCCCACGCCTAAGTGGTTCGTGAAGGTTGGGGGAGTAGCAATGTATGCTGTGTCTTGGTGTTTTATGTTTAGCATCTGGCGCTTTGCATGGAGGAAGAGCATCAAGAAGTACCATGCTTGGAGAAGCAGGCGGAGTGAGGAACGGCAGCTGAAACACAATGGACATCTCAAAATACACTAGCCAAGGCTTGCTCCAGGTTATGGATTGGGTTAAGTCAGCCGTGGGAACCAGGTTGGAAATATGACTGTTACGGAATTATGCTTATAACAAACTTAGGTTTCAAAAAAAGGGCTAAATTTATCGATCAATTTGGTCAGTCTTCAAGCCGGGCATATTTCAGTATTAAAACCCTAACTTCTACAGTGGCACAGTTGTAGAAAGTGAGAATACTCCTTGGTAGTTGGGATTAAGAACTGTGAAGCGAGTACTACAGGCATTTGCTTTCATTTGTGGTGACCCTGGGTCCTCCTTCCCTGGGAGGTTTGATGTCCGGGCAGCTTAGAAAGGAACTCGAAAGATTAGTGCCATTTCTTGTTCCTTTGAGAAGTAACTCTTTCAATAAACACTGATTTCTGCTTTCCATGTAGCAATTTATCTAAGTTTACCCCATTTACTATAAAGTGAGGGGCTTTTAGGAAGACACACGCCTTTGGCATTTTGAACATTTGATCAGGGAATTAGTTCTGCTTAAACAGAGGGGGATAGGAGGGCGAGAGTAAAACTGGCAGTGAGGAGGAGGGTTACTTACTGAACCTCCTATACCAACTGTGCTAGAGGTCCCCAAGACCACTGTCAGGTTACGTGATTCTCTGGGAGGACTCAGAGGACTCAGCATATAGTCTTACTCATAGTTCTGATTTATTATAGTGAAAAATACAAAGAAAAATCCGTAAAAGGAGAAGGCACCTGAGAAAAAGTCTCGGGAAACTAGGCACAAGCTTCCAGAGTCCACTCCCAGTGGGATCACACAGGATACGCTTAATTCCCCTAGCAATGATTTGTGACATGCGAATGGGTTGTCTACGGGAGAACGTCATTACAGACTCAGTGCCCAAAGTTTTTACTGGGGACAGGTCATCTAGGCAGCCTTTCTCTAGCGGGGAGCAAAATTCAAGACTCTCAAAAGGAAAACAGGTGTCCAGCATAAGCCATATTATTTGCATAAACAGTTCAGATACAGTAAACCAGTCTTATCAGTTAATGGTGGGAGCCCTTCCAAAATCTAAGTTCCCAAATGCCGGCCAGTGGCCAACCCTGTAATCAGGCCTCTCCAAGGATAGCAGTTTAGGCCTGCTATGTTAACTCTTTGATGCACAAAACCTATAGAGTTAGGGCTTTGGATTTGAGATGAATGAAGTGTGGGAGATTTACTGAGTTCTGTTATACAGTTCTGCCCTACCAGGAAAACTATGCCAGTTCTCAGGGCTTTTGTGCATTAATCTCCTAGGCATTTGAGGCTATGACTAAATTCCATAGGGATTTACCATGTGGATTCCACTGTGCTTGAGATGGCAGTTTAGATTTCAGCTCTGCTGTACATATTGCAAACTAGAACCAAAGACTTTAAAGTATGTACTGGCCTCAGGGGGGTGAGGTTAATTTCTTTTTTTCATTTTAGATACATTCCCTTTTAGTACTCTTCCCTTTTTCTTATTTCTATTAAAAAGGTACCACTCTATGGACAAACTAATATGACAAGGTCAATCTTGAAAGGAAAAAACATAATAATTCTTAGTGTGACAGTCTCCAAGAGAAGCAAGAACATAAACTTAGAACAAGGGGTTAAGAATCAAGAATTCCTGGGTTCTTTTAACTAATTTCGCTACTCACTTGCCAGATCATTTGGATAGGTTACTCGTTTATTATTTGTCTGAGTTTAAACCTATTGTAAATGAATAAAATACCCTGTTATATATTTCATAGAGACATTATGTGGCATTTTATTAATGGAGGTCTTTAAAATAGGGCTTTTATGGAAATATGAAGTATTTATTGATTATTTTTACCATGTTATTTAGTTCAATGATGTTTGACTAGCTCAGTGGGTGAGCAAGCATATGGTGCTACTGGAGCCAAGGCTGGTCAGTAGGAAGTGTCAGTCCATTCCATGGCCACTGGTAATCTCACGTAATGAGGAGTCTCGAAAATGGATGTCTTGGCCACAGAAACCAAGCATGAGGGAGTGGTTGGAATGGTGTAAAGTCATCACTGTTAAGGGAACAGTAACTTTAAAAGCATGTTAACAGTGGATCTTTCAAAATAATATGAAAGAGTTTTGCTGGTCATTGAGATAATCTGACAGCATCTCCACTCTTTTTTTTTAATCTCCACTTTTTATTTTTTCTATCATGAGTGCCCCTAAAATGCTGGTGAGCTTCTTTCCAACAAAATTGCAGTCAAAGTAGGATGCTGGGGAATGCTGATTTTAGCAAAAGCCTAGCAGAAAAGAGTGGCTTGGCACATGAGCTTAAAAAATAAAAAAGCTGGCTCTTGAATTTTGGCACAGTGCAACCTGTTCCATACCAGACAAATGAACAGGCTTAATCTGGTACCAATTCTTTTTCTCTCTTACTCCCCAGAAGTGAAGGGACTGCAGATCTTGCTGTTTGGAGACACTTTCATTGGAATGTATATAGGTTTTTTTGAATGGTGAGAAATCTGAATAATTGGTAAGGGGAAGGGAATCCCTCATTTCAGCTTTTCTTGATGTTGTCACTAATAACTATGAAAAAAACCTCTGAGAGAACAATGTGAACTGAAGATGACTCAGCAGTTAAGATAATGCTCAGTTTTGAAACCACAGGTAAATGAAGGGCTAATTAATGTGTGGTATACTTGGACAAAATGAAGTACTCATTTGCACTGGATTACTATGTAATGATAACTAACACTGTTCAAGAAGGATTTATATTTCCATAAGATTTGTACTAAATTTTATAAAAGTAAAACAACTTTTTATAAATCCAGAGTCTGTCTTTATATTTTTGCGGTGGTTTTGCCAAGAAGTTAAAAAAAAGCCTTTTGACCTGTAGAAATGTTGACCTGTATTCATACTTGTGAATATCTCTAATCTGCTGTTCATTATCAATCATTCACGATATTTTTTATTTTGGGGGGGGGTAACAATTGATATACAGAAAACAGTCTGCCAAAAGAGAGAGGAAGAACCTTAATTTGTTTCTTGTTCTGCCACCTGTTTGGACACTTGCATTTAAAGTGGTAGTGCAAGTGAGCTGACATCAGAAACATCATCTGAAGACAGCTGGGGGCCCTGTCTTGAGGACAGTACTTCCAATGCCTAAAACAGTCTGGGATGCATAGTAGATACTTAATAAACATGTTGAAAGAATGGACGAGAGGATAAGAATGTAGTTTAGAATAATGCCCATTGGGAAACCTCCTCAAAGAGCATGTCCAGTGGATTGGGTCATCAGTGTCATTTTTCTAGGTAAAGCACTACTGGCCCTGAGGAGTATGTTCTCCGTAGACTGGCTTGACTTTCTGAAGGCATCCTATAGTCTCTAGAACAGTTGAGCTACCAGCAGCTTTAAAGAGGATTTCAGGTATTTTTTTTTTGTTTCATTAATGCTTTGTAGGCGACTATAGAGATTTTCATCATTTAAAAAAATTAATTCTGGAATGAATAACCACTGGCTTAATTCAATCCTTTGCCTACCATCTTCTGAAGCTTTCCCACAGCAAAATGCCTTCTTTGCTCACAGCTAGAACCGTGGGTCTGTTTAAGTTTGGAAAGATCTTGAAAGCAACTTGCCAAGAGGTTTTGTATGCAAGGAAGAGAAGGTGAATTAGGAAACTTTCCCAGTTCGTTTTATTCCTGAAGCTTAAGTATTGAGGCTTCCTTAAAGTATTAAAGGAAGAAGGGAACTCATTTTTAAAATGCATGATTTGATGAGTCATTGGGTTCAATTAATTGATACTTACACTGTAACATTGTTAGAATAGGGGAGCATAAGATATTTAGTACTTTTAAGAAAGATTTTTTAAAATTTGGTGATAAGGTTTGCATTTTGGCCAGTGTATGTATGTATAGATAGATAGATAGATAGATAGATAGATAGATAGATAGATAGAAAGACAGACAGACAGACAGATAGATAGACAGACATACAGATAGATAGACATACAGATAGATAGATAGACAGACAGATAGATGAATGAATGGGATTCCAGTTACATGTAAACACTCAATTTTTAAGTCTTCAGGGTAGAATCGTTATGCTAGGATTCGCCAGCAGGTGGCAATGTGTCTTGGTTTCATCATTAGGAAAGTCTCTTGGCTAATCTGCTTCTATTCTTTCCAAAAATAAACATTACAGAATTAGCTGGCTGTGCCTTGAACCTAAAAAATCAAGCAATAAAGAGTCGTCTCTGGCCTCTGTTTATCTTTTCCGCTTTTTTTTTTTTTTACCCCGTTCTAACTAACGTCAGCTTGAGCTCATGCCTCTATTCGGGGATAATGATCCTTGCATGAACTGTTTCAGAATGACTTTTTGCGACAGTATTGTTAGGAGGTAATTGTTTCCTCTCTCCACATCCATTGTTTATTAGATTGATTTGCTATTTGGATTCCACAAAATGGCTGAAATCCCTTGCCACCAACATAGAGGTCTAAGCTCAAAAGTCTGAAAATAGTTGGGTACAGGGAATAGCCACTTTAGCCGTTTGCAGGCAGAATTGAAGAACTGTATTGTATGTAGTACTTAAATTGCCATAATACTGAATTATTCAATCATAAAATTAGATGAGTATCTACATCTCTCTACCCAGTAGGGGAAAAAAAACGAAAAATCGTCTGGGAACCCTTCAGAGAACCGTAATGCTATTTATTGGATAAATATACTTCTTTTTCTTCTCCCATTTCTTTCCACAACACGCTTGTTAAGTCGCTATGGAAAGCACCATGCTTTCTCAATTTGGCAAATAACACATTTCATTTTGCCAAGTCAGAAACAGCCTAAAAGCAATATTTATACCGAGGAGCCCTGGCTGCAGTCCCCAACTGCTCCCCCGCAGCCCGGAGCCTCCCGCTCCCGCCGCGCTCTCCCGCCGGGGCCGACAGGTGCCCAGGTGAGCGGGGTCTCCAGTAGCGCTAGCGGCGGGTGCCGGCCCGGCACAGGCAGATCACGCGCAGCCAGGAAACAGGAGCGCCGAGTACATTCCCTTAAGGAATAAATGTTTCCAGGACAAGTCGGTCCGGTAATTTCCAAAGAGCCTCCGGCACAATGTCCACGGGGTCTGGGGGGCGCTCTCGGCGGTCTGTGGTGAAAGTCGACTCAGTACAAACTGGACTCGAAGGGGCAGGTCTCGGCACTCAGGGCTCCGGGCGCCGCGGGAGGTGGGTGGGCCTCCCAAGGCCGCACGGGTCCCACCTCCCTCCGCCCCGCAGGACTACTTTTCCGCTCCCCCCAAACCGGGCTCCGGCGGAGGCGTCCGCGCGGAGTTCAAAGAGCGAGTCTGACAGGCGGAGGGATCCCGGGTGAGGCGGCTTCCCGAAGTCTGAGAGGAGGGGGCCAAAAAAGTCAGCGGGGGACGGGAAGCGCGAGCTCGCGCTGGACGCCGCCGGGGCCGGGAAGCCAGGACCGGAACCGGAACCCGCGCGCGCGCCCGTGGTTGCGCGGCCCCCACCGCCGTCGGCCTTCTCCGTCGTCTGCGCGCGCGCCCGCGAGGGCCTCCAGAACCCGGCGAGCCGGCCCTGCGCGGGGAGTCGCCGCCGCCGCCGCTGCCGCCGCCTCCGCCTCCGGGGCCAGGGCTTCCAGGCCGGGCCGGACGGGCATCTCCCGCCCCTCGCGGGGAGCGTCGGGGAGGAGCCGCCGCCTCTGGCGACTGCGGAAGAGTCCGGGCCTCAAAGGGATGGGGAGCAGTCCGCGGCGCTGAGAGACCCGGGTCCCTGTCACCTTGGGCCGCGGGACCCCTCCCCCGGCGGCCGCGGCTCGTCCCAGCGCCAGGAGCCTGGTGGGGGCGGCGACCACAGGAGGAGAGCCCCGGGCCCGGGACATGGAACCGCGCGAGCCCGGCGCGGGACGGCCGGAGACGCGGCAGACGCTGCGGCCACGAGCAGCCGGCAGCCCCAGATAGAGAGCGGGGAGGGAGGGCCCCGGCCCTGCCGCGGCGGGGAGTTCGAGGCCCCGAGACTCCGGAGGAGGAGCCGACACCCGTCCCTGAGCTGCTGATCCCGCCCCAGCCCCGGCGGGAGTCCCGGGTCCCCTTCCCACGGCTCGCGGACTTCTCTCTGAGGAAGTTTCTCCTTGTGCCCCTGGAGGATTTCTCACTATCTCTACTCGCTCTGGACTGACTCGCTCCCTGGCTTTCTCAGTTTGTTTTGGGAGATAACTTGTTTTGCTCCAACCCGCATCCCTTGACCTCTTCCAATCGGATGGTCTAGATGACTGAATGGAGTTTTGAGTTGGACTTTTGCGTCCCTGACGGAGTTGGGCCTGATCCCAGAGCACTGGGGGTGGGGAGGAGGTGTTACTGTAAAATGCAAGTTGGATAAAAGGAGGATCTCTCGCCAAGGGCCCCAATGAGTGGCACACAGTCTACTATCACCGACAGGTTGGTATGAATTCCTCCTCTCGGCCTCCCGGAATTGGGCCCGACCTAGCAGCGGAGTCGGTGATTGCAGATTGCCTTTGGCCAGCGAAGTTGACAGGCAGAGGAGAGAGGGTTGTTTCGGAGCTGTGCAGTTAGCTCCGGGTTGCTGCCAGTTAGCCAGTTGATTGGCTTTTGGAAATGTAGTTTTTCTGGAGAGAAACTTCCCTCCCGATTCTCGGAGAAGGGGGCGGTAAAGCCATGATTGTGGTTTTCCGCCTGTAGTGTGCATTAGGGTTGTGTACTCATCTGGAAATCAGAAGAGAAGGTCATTTGGGGTGAAGGTCGCTGTCTGAAGTCGGCTTGGTATTGGTGTATTGTTTTTCGGTTTTAGCCCTGTCCTGCAGTAGTTCTCAAGACAATTACATTTTAGGAATTTCTACCTGTGAACGTAATGTTGAGCCTACTGCATGGTCCTCTGGGAACCTGATCTCTTTTAGATGTTGACCTGCACAGTGTTTAATTATTATCTAATAACTTTCCAGAATGTTGACATTACCAGTAAATCACAGGTTCTTGCTGGAGACAGTGTCCAGGAGCTGAAGAAATGAGGGTAAATCATGGGGTTTGCTTTTAATTCTTGTATTTAAAGGTTTCATCTTCCAGAGACACTTGGCGTTTAAAACATATAAACCCATAAGCACAGTATAAGCGTGCAGCTTAATTTGTTGAATTCTGTGTCTGCCCTTTATAGCACTTATCAATGTTGCATGCTGGTGTGGGGCGAATTGAGCTAGACCATGTGTGGTTGAAGTGCAGTTTGCTTTTCCTAAGAGTTACTCTTCTCATAGGGTAAGGGATAAAAGCATATTGATTTCTTCACCACATTTCACTTCTCAATTTAATTATGACACTGTATGCCAGTCCCAAATTTGTCAGCTTGCTTTATTTTTAAGTCAGTCTTCAAACTATTACATTATGAAAAAATAGATCAGGTAACTGAATTAGAGTGCCAAAGCTCTTTGATGAAAAGTGCAACAATAGTGCTTTTGCACAAAGTAGTTTAATTTCCTAATAAGAATTTTACCCAATTGTAAGACTCATTTGTTGATTTTAAAGAGCCAAATTCCATTATCATACCATAACAGCTACTCCAGAAACAGAACTAACTTCCTCTTCCTGTTGATGCTTTTCAGCGTCACATGAATGTTCACTTAAAAGAGTCCGTTAAATATTTAAAGTATTTATATTTACTCTGTGTATTTTTCAAAATGGCTTTTCATTTTCAATGAAATAATGTTTAATTTTTGCAAGAATACACTTAAGTATTGACAGTGCTTATCTTGCTGTCTTCTTGTTATCCCCATTTTTTTCCTTTCAGGGTATTTTTTCTTCTGAGAAATCACTTTCACGGGTGTA